GTGTACCCTGAAGAGTCCTACCTCCTTTTTCACTGTCATAGTGTGATGCATCAAACTGAGCATCATCATTAGGGAGCTGGACACTGGCTATCACCAGGTGGTTTTGTTCATCAGATGTGTGTGTTCCCAGGACAAGCCGATGAATGCTGAAATCTTTCCCTTCAGGCCTGTAATAACAACAAATCATCACTATTCAAGTCGATAATCCAAGAAATCATAGTCAGTGATGTGCATATGACAAAAAACCCAAACAATTCAATTGAGATAGTTAGTGAGAACTAGTCCCTACTTTAAAAAAAAACCCATGTGCTCAAGTAGACATGCATATGGATGCTGGAGGACAATTAAGAGTCATTCACTCAGCCCAGAGGTGGTGGTGCACACCTTTAATCCCAGCACTCAGGAGGACGAGGCAAGAGGATCTCTGTGAGCTCAAGGCTAGCCTTAACCTGGTCTACAAAGTGAGTTCCAGGACAGCAGAGAAACCCTGTGTGTGTGGGGTGGGGGTGGGGGTGGGGTATAGGTGGGGAGTCATTCACTCTTAAGATGCCATTTATGGTTGGTCGTGGTGGCACAGGCCTTTAGTTCCTGCACTCTCAGGAGGCAAAGACAGGTGGTTGGTTCTACTTGAGTTCCAGGACAGCCAGGGCTATTATCGTCTCAAAAGAAGCAAAAGTAGTAACAAAAAGAAGCTATTCACCTCTGTTAATACAAAGCTCACTGATTAGGTCAGCATGGCTGGCTGTTGAGCCTGAGGGAATCCTTCCTATTTCCCATCTCCCCATCACTGAGACTTCAAGCATATACCACCTGGTTTTTTGTTTGTCATGTTTTGTTTTTAAACATGGGTAGTGTGGATTGACTGCATGTCCCTGGTGCTTGCAAGGTAAGCACTTTAGTGAGTCATTACCAAAGCCCCCATTTCTTTAGAAAAAGTAGGACCATGCCGGGCGTTGGTGGCGCACGCCTTTAATCCCAGCACTCGGGAGGCAGAGCCAGGCGGATCTCTGTGAGTTCGAGGCCA